ATATATATATATATATATATATATATATATATATATATATATATATATATATATATATATATATATATAAATAAATAATGGCACTCTTTAATGAATTTCAAAGTTTTGCACAAGCCAATGATTCTGAATTATATTATTGTTTCTTTGTATTCACTTTTGTCTACAATGAATTAGAAAGTGAACAGAGAATAGTCCCCCAAACCGTAAAAGTCATTGAGTTATGCATCATCTTCAGGGCTTATGACATACCTCAGCACTTCAAAATATGAGGTACACCATTGATACACCAACTAGAAGGATCTATTGCAGCCATTACAATCAGGAAAGACATCTCTAACCTATACTGATACACGTACCAAGCTCTAGGCCTGAAAGCCAAATTCCAACAGCAACACAAAGTCAAGGTCCATTAACCAGGGGGATCGATCTCAGCCTGGATTAAATTGTTGTTGACCACTGCTCTAGGCAAAAAGGAAAATGCATACATCACAGGTCAAATCACAGTCCTGTCATAGTGTAATTAGTGTGTAAAACTTGTTGTTGATCCAACATATCCACTGAAACTTACCTTTATAATATATTTCAGGGCATCACATAATATAATTAATTCAGGAATACAACTGTAAAGGGGATTCTGTGGGTTGATCAGACCAATGTCAGGTTTCTAGTCTGTATTCTTAACGAAGAAGTTACGTCCTTTAACAATGTCTTCCTGATCAATAACATTCCATTCCATTGTAGCAGTCAACCGTCATCACAGAATTAATGAAAGATGAGGCTGAGCAAACCAAACCGTTACAATATTTTGAATTTTTGAATACAGTGAGTTTCAAAGCAAAATCAATGGAAACATGACCCTTGCACATTATCACGCACCCAAATCTCTGAGACCGACTCAAAGTCACAGTACGACAATGGTTGTCATGCGGAGGTTTTGCAACATCTCTGGCAAAGAATTAACATGCATATGTCAAGTATGCATATATTATAACACTACTTAAACAAAACACATACATCTGACATGGGTCATGCATCAGTCCTACAATGTTCAGCCAAGACAGCCAGGCGAGTATTAGTTAGTTATTTCAACAATGCAGTCCATTCGATTATGACGGAGTATCACCAGCATATTACGAAGAAGGCTTCCAAGTATTCTAAAGTGTTGATGCTTCCTATGATGTCTAAAATATATAGTGCAACTTTTTGATATCACTACATATATAAATTACATCACCAAAGATGACAGGCAATTGATCTTTACCCACATAGATTTCCGATGGGACCTCTACAGCAATCGGTAAACACACAACGTCGCCAAACGACAACGCCTTTATGCGTTAACACTTAGGAATTGCAAAATGTTACCAATAATAGGAAACATAGTTAGATCAAATAACTAATCAATCGGTCTAGCATTTTACGCATTACCGAGCTCACACTTTTGAATAATGTTATGACTTGGGCACAATATAACGTATTAAATGTTAGTAACAATTAGGTTCCATAACACGTTTGACAGTATGCGATGTAACTATAAGACGTGCTTGTACAGAAAGAACAGCAGAAACCAACTTAAAAATACATTTATCAGTAAATGTGACTGAAGTTAGACCACTTGTCATCAGCCTGCTAAGAGCACTTCACGGTGATACGTAGTTTAAAGAAGTAAACAATTCGTCGGAAGCGAAATAATTTAAGCGTATATAAATACTACTTTATCTTACACTATTCGAAAAGCTACACATGTCACACTCTCCGTCTGCCTTACCGTAGAAATGCCTCCCTAAAATGTATCCTGAACAGCAGGGCCGGACCTTCTCTTTGCTGATTACATAAAGGTTATTGAGCCGGAAATGACGGAATACGAGGACGAAGGGGGGGCGGGATTTTACAAGAAAAGCGGTAGTGGCCGTGGTGGTGGGATTTTGGTGAATGCGGAGAATTTTGGGAAGATCTCGTTGGTCTAAACTGCTTGGTTTTATATGCATTGGATGGATTTAAAAAATCTAGAATAGTATAACTGCCACTGTGATCTAAATAATTAAACTAAAAGTTAAATTGTGTGAGTAAATGGTGTATGAGTGACCCCCGCAACGTTTTGGTAGCCCATCCTGGGTTGTTCCTGCCTTGCGCCCATAGGCTCCGTTTTCCCCGCGACCCTGAATAGCACATGCTGTTTCAGAAAATTGATGGATGGGTCAAATTAAATTTGAACATATCTGAAATTTATGAACCCTTCACATTTTTACTCCCCTGTCACACAGATGTTGGATCAACGCGTGATCACATTACAACGGAGTATTAATACATTAATGTGCGAAAAGGATATTATTAAATGAGTTTATATTAATCAAGGGCGATTGTAGGATATAACTCCTCGGGGTGGGGGGAGGTTCTGAAGAAAGTCCCGCACGATTAAATTTACCGAGGGGGAATCCACCACGATAACCTTTTCCTGAGCGTAGGGGAGGTCCCGCACGAAAAAAAAACCCGTGCGGGGGCTACGAAACATACACGAAAATACGGTACAGTTCGCTAAATGATTTTACAAAAAATTGTGAAGAACCTATGACATAATTTTATGTGAAGGGTGTCACTGCGGCAGGGTTGCCAACTCTCACGCATCTGGCGTGATACGCTTTCTGACTAGACAAATACCACAAATCTTTATTATTCCATTATAAACCTAAAGTTAGCCACACCAAAAGCATTGGGCAGTTTCATACCATAAAGACTATTTACAAGGTAATAAAACTGTTACATACATGTGAATGCGTGTGCAGACTTCTTTCGAATTGAAAATCTCAGGCCTGCCCGCTGACCAAAGCTGGCAACCCTAGCTGCTGTGGGCTCAACTCCAGGGTGGGGGTGACAATTCCACATGTGCTCTGTGGAGATTGCATGTATCCTCCCCAAGACATTCATTTAATTTGCACCTGTAAATTGTCCATTTTGTGTGATTGCGTACGTTGTGCCTTGTGACTGCCTTAGTTGTAAGATAAGTGTATTCTAGGGATATAACTTACCAAAAGCTGCTATCTTTGATACTTGGCAATGTTAAATGATGTTGTTCTTAGTGTTCACATAATATTACTAAGAGCAGTGGATCCCAAAGGGGGATCGCAAGATGATTTCCAGAGGATGTGTATAAAATTAAAAAACGTTTAAAAATATCGTATTTTATCCGTAAGGGTGAAAAAGTATCAACAGTAATTAAACAGTTAAAATACATACTCCAATATATAAATCTATATGTGTATAAATGTAGTTGAACGTCACAAGTTGCTTTCACTATCAAAAATGACCGCCACCCAGGCCCGGAATGACAAACCGGGAGAATTCCCGGTGGGCCGCTTACCTGTCCTGCCTTTCAGAAACAAAATTAACTGACAAGTTGAAAACTTGGATACAAAATAATTGTATAATTGTACAAATAATTGTACAAATTAAAATTCCACAACAAGTTTTTTCACGCACGCACACGCGCATCCACGCACAAACAGAACAGGATTGCTAAGAAAAAGGCGCCAATACGCAGCACGCGGGTAACCGTCAGCGCTCCTGAAGTACCGGAACTGGAGGTTTCTCGTACAATAGATGCAACAGGCGGGCCTGACAAAGTCAGACTGCTTAAACAGTTCAATATTTTCTTTATTATTCATTTTATTTTTGAAATGCCGTAATAAAATTATTAGGATAAGACTTAAAATGTGGCATTATTTATCACAGTTCCCTCAGAACGAAGGCAGAAATTAATCCCATCTCGTGCCAATATAGAGGCTTTTAAAAGACCAATAAGGTACTGGAATTATTTGAGACATTCGCTTGCTGACTCAACCGAAGGAGAATTATACGTGCTTTTGCTCAGTTCCACGAGAATAGCAGGGGACGAACAATGGGTGCGTTAACTGATAACTAACAATCTTAGCGAATAACGAACAAGATATCAAAAGACAGGTAAAAAAACTAATGAGATGTGCTTCCCAAAAGTCTTCATTATCCGATATTTAATGGACAAACGATCGTAGTTCTTCCTTGTCTCCTTCCCAGCGCCCATGTGAGAAAAGCAAAGACTGTCGATAACATAAACACTGATCCCATGTATTTTATTTGCGCAATATGTTACAATGTGGTTCAGATGGCTTCTGAGTTAAAAAGATCTTTGTCACTTATTTACGCACTTAAAACGACAGTCTTTCAATAACAATCATAAAACAGCTCACGTTAGTCACACTACAATGGGGAAAACAACGGAGAGGTCACATATTAAACTGACCTGATACACGTGGTTGGTAATCATAACGGGACCAAGACCCACCTTGCCGGAGTCACAATATTACTGTCACATCAGATATATGCAAATGTAAAAAATAACCTAATAAAAAATCATTCAAAATATGCAAAAGACCCCCAAAAATTGACTTATCAGTCCAAAATATATAAATTGGCTCAAAACGTGATCTGGCCTCCTTGGAACAAAGAACAATGGTGGGCAGCAGTAGGAAACATCATATAGACCAGCGACTGGACTATTTGAACAGTACTGTCTGCCATTTCTGGACTCTGGATCTGTCATTGCTGGTAGTAAAGGGTAATTCACCTTTGCATGATGTGACCGAACACAAAACA